ATGGCTCAAATGTTCACACAGATAGAAGTCCGTTATTCTGGTCTCCTATGGCTGTTCCTCTGTTCTGTGAAGAAAGACATTTGCTAAAAACTAGAAAGTTCTTGCTGCAAGGACCAAAGGGAGGGTCTTGTCTCCCATTGTATTTTTGTGGTCTACGCAAAAGCTGTAACACACTGGCACAGCAAAATGCCCACACAGTTCTTGTGAGCACACCTATTGTTGTTGGAGCAATAAATTATTCTTCAAGCTTTTGGAACTTTTAAGAAATGTTGGTTTTAATCCTGTTCCTGCAATGACTCTACTCCCTGTAGAGCCCAAAGTTTGTAAAGAGCTCTAGTGTCTCTGCCCAGTTTTCCCTTTTCTCTCTTCTTCTTTCTCTTTCTCTTCTTCTTCTCATTTCTCCTCCAGTTCCTAGGTCAAAGCAAGGCCACTCAACACTAGTTTTCTGGCCTCTAAAAGATAACAGGCTTTGTTAGCACCATCAATAGCATCAGCTTCTCTTGGGGATTTTTTTTAAATTTTTTAATTTGTTTGCATTTTTTAAAGCCTCGAGTGAGGACTTGCCGTAAGTATAGGTGAGCAAAGAAATCCCCTTGGTAAGACAGTTCCTCTGTCTGTGGTGACACCACTGTCCTTGTGGTCGGTTTGAATTGTTCTGCTGCAGTATATTCCAGTTTAAAAACAAAAAGCACCTAAACCCAAAAACCTAAAAACCCAGACTTCCTCATTGTGTTACAGATGTGCATGATCTGAGAGAGCACCAGAGAGCACACTGCTCCTCTGCTGCCTTCTCTACAGGATCTGGAGATCTTCAGAGTGGGAGCATGGGGCTTTGCCTGGAGGGAACAAGTAAGCACAGAGTTGAGAGTTCAACTGGAGAGAGAGAACCCAGCACGGGGCAGATATGTTTGTTCTTGTCCAGCCATTGCAAGATGCGTAATTGGGATGATTCAAAGGCTGGAAGTTGGCAGTACTTCCCCAGACCAGATCTAGACACAGAAAAACCACACAGTTGCACAGGGCAGTCAACATCCCACTGCATCAACAGTAAACAGGGCGATGAAAGGGTGTGTGAGATACAAACACTGCCCAGCAATCCAGCTGCAGCCATCAGTGGGCACAGCCTTGTGGTCCAGTTGCTTATGCCAAGAAATCTCCATGGGAGTGAGGAGCTACAGCCCCCTCACAGCAACAGCTTCCCTTAAACGTCATCCCTAATGTGATGCAGGATCAGTAAATGAAACTTTGGTACAATTGACCCCAGCCTTCCTCATCCCCAGCCCAATTTCTGGGCTGCATGGCTCACCTCAACTCCCTCCCTTCTCTGCTCCTGCAGTGTGAGGTGCCAGCGAGGGAGCAGAGCTCCTGATTTGGATATGTCTGTTGATGGAGTGGGTGGGAGACTGCTTAATGCTCTGGGAACTGACCTGTTGGAGGATGGAGACCAAGGGAGGGGAATGGATGGGGGAAAGGAGGGGGAAAGGAGAGGGAAAGGCAGATACACGGAAACTCTGTCCTCCGTTATTTTCCAGAATCCCATTTGATTCTTCATGACATTTCCTACAGCTCTGATTTTATTACCCTGGGCACTTCCCCTCCTCCCTTCTCCATGAAATACAGCCTGTTACCACCACAAAACTGCATGCTTTCTTCCAAAGATGAGGACACAATAGTGTGGGTTTCTTCATTATTTATGATCAGAAGTCCTTTCTTCCACCTTTATAGCACAGGAACCATTCAAAAAAATACCTACATGGGTAAGTATGGAATTTCTTTAATCTGGAAGTACAATGAAACTTCTAACGGTGGACTACATTTTCTTCTGAATGATTATCATGGGTCCTGACTTGAAGTCTAACTTTCAGTTGCTTTGTCTGTTGACACCTTTAATGTGATAAAGGTAGTCATAGTGATCCTTATCAGAGTTTCTTCTATGATTAAATCTGCTTTTTGGTAGAATATCCACCTATTCTTATTTGCTCCTCATTCTCACTCTTTACTTCATAACTATGCTTCAGAAAAACTTTGTCACATTTTTATTCTCTCCTAGTATATGAAGAAAGTGAACTCCCATGAATTGGTCTTTATAAAGCCGTCACTGCCTTAGACTTTCCCCTCTCAAACCACAAAAGACCAGGCCAGGCTCTGTTGGTTCTCTCATGATTACTGTTTCTAGGGATGACTGGAGTTTTTTAAGTTCTGGATGATCAAGATGAGTTCTTCACCTCTTCAACCAACACTGAGTTACAGACAGATATGATCAAATGTATGAATACCACTACAGGGTGTTACTTAATGCATTGTTTTTCAGTTCATGCCTTGCTCTAGCTTCTAGTACTGCACATGAGCAGAAGCGGGGCTGGTTGAATTTTTATTTTTGTAGAAAATACTTTTGCAGTCAAAAAGTTGTTAATATGATGAGTAGACTTACTGTGCTACACCTGTTCCCTTTATACGGTATGAGTTGTGGAGAGGAAAGCAGACCAGATAGATATCCACTTTGGGGTGTTTGTTGGTCTCAGTGACAACTCAGTATCATTCATGTTCACAAGCAATGTAAGAGAATGAACCTGGAAAATGACGGTCCACTTATAGCTCATCAATCAATTTCACACTCTATCAGGAATCTAGGAAGAAGAAGTGCCTAGGCACTTCTGGGTCTCTAGAAAGTAAGCCCTCTTTGTCCCCCAAGACACTCAGCACTGCACTGTCTTTGGCTTTCTCTTCTGGAAATAACTATATCTTAGTTATGTATGAACAGCTGATACACGAACTACTGCTGATATGGTTATATCACGCCATATGTCAACAAAGAAGTGGTAGGGTAGGAATTACCTTGGGATTTTGATGAAGGCGAATCCTGGAGCATCCTGGAAGGGTGCTGGGCAGCACATAACTTTTTCAAATACAGTAGGCAAGAAATAGGAGTGGTAGAGAAGCACATGGACAGTTCTCTCTCCTACAAGTTTTTAACTTCAGCAGAACGAATCTGCCTGGTTTCAAAAGGAAAATGTTGACATATCTTGCAGTTTGAAAAATGTTATATTTTCTAGTGATGTTTCAGTTTCAACGTGTGAAGAAATTAAATTACTTTATAAAACTCCACATTAAGTAAATGACATTGTCTTTGGTGAAGCAAAGTCTTCTGGGATACAAGGGAGATTTTGATGTTTTATATTCTTTATAATAACCCTCTTCTTTAGAAAATGCATAGCTGTGACCTGAGAAGGGAACAAATGCTCAGTGGTAGGCCATGGAGTGGCTTTTTGTACTTGGATGCTTACTACTTGCAATTTTTTGTCTGTTTTTGCAGTTGTTTGTGGTTTGGTTTTTTTGACATTGGGAGAAAAGGACTGAGAACAAACCCGGATCACAACTCTTGATAGTGATATATCTCATCTGAAGACTTCCTATCCAAGATCTGAAATCCTCTTTTTCCACGGGCTTAAAAAGTTTTTACAATTTGCATTCTCATCTCCCTGAGTGCCCCCATAGACCATCCTTGCCCAGTCTCTGGGGCTCACCCAACCTTGCCCAGGGTGCAGGACCCCACCTCAGCCCCCAGGACCATCAGCCCCTGCCCCAGTGATGCTGCAGCAGGGCTGGTCTCCAGCTCCCCACAGCCCTGCCCTGCCCAGCCATGGGCCCTGCCTAGCTGGACCCACTTGTGGCCTCATGTCCCAGCCTGGCTTTGGCCCAGGGAGGTGCCCAATGCCCAGGGCTGGGGCTATCCCGGTGCCGCCGGCTGCTCTGCTCCTGGCAGGCGGTGGGACGGGCCCTGATTGCCAGGCCCTTCCCTGACCCACCATGGGCAGCCTCCACTGCTCCCAGCCCCCAGAGATGGTTTATAATGAGAGACGCTTTCTACTACTTAGTATTATTGAGATCTAGAGAGAAATACTGTAAAAGAAAATACTGTTATGCACTTGCTGGATTCCCAAGCACCAGTGGACTCTGTATAACAGAAAGGAAAATTTAACCAGCTAACTGCTTGTTTGTATTATTTGAAATCATGAGTTGTGCAATTACATGAATTTGCTAAGAATCAGGAGGGAAGTGATGAACATCATATCTTGCAACACTTCCGATGGTACGACAGTTCCTCAAATCACAACCGGCAGGGGAGACAGCCCTATTTATAGCTATACAACCATTTAACATAGGAGTATCTCCATCTTCTCTGAGCCTGAAGACTATGATAGAAAGATAAACAAGATAAAGACATTTTGAAACAGAAGGTAGGTCCATCTTTGTCTTTCTGACTATTTTGTTTGCTGAGGTATTTACTGAGACTCTAGAAGTCCAGGACCGGAGGGATGATGTCCCAGGCAAAATCTAAAGAGCTGTCAGAGGAATACATGGAGCTAAGTTGAATGAAGCTTTTTGCAAATAAAGCACTTACTGCCTGCTGAGAAAGGTCCTAGATACAGTTTTTATTTTCTTACTGGGTTTGGTACTGACTTTGTAGAAGTTACACAGCGCTCCTGGATCCACTTTTAAGCGTATGCTCAAAAACATCCTTGAAAGTACATGAACTAATGCTGTCATCAAACTTACCATATTTACCATCAGGTAACTCAAGCTGATCGATATTGCTGTGACTCATTTTGATGTTTTCTGTTTGCAGCTGTTTACCCACCTGCTTGACATCTATTCATCCTAACCTTTGTATATAGCAGATAAATAAATAATCTTTAGGCTTTAAGATAGCAGTCGCCAAATGTATGTATGTAATGTTTATGCAGTGCTCCTGAGATCACCAGCTTTATGAATCATCACACAAATTGTTTTGTTACAGAAAGGAACAACTTATTTAACATTCCTCTGACTGCTTGAGAAGTCTATCGAACTCTCCTTCCACCAGAACTTGGTGATGGTCAGCTGGTGTAGAAGTAGACATATGAGCAGGTCAGACTACACAAATTTTGGGGACAGTGGTTCACACTGACATCTTTCACCCTCAGCAAATTTCACTGTTCTCTGTCTCCAAGGAGGAAGAGATGGTTGCTCCTCTTGCACTCATCTTCATGACCCAGTGGATGTTGCTGATCTCCCAGTTGTGTGTTGGCTGGCACTGCACAGACTGTGAGTAGAACATTTCCATGGGGCAGTCCTCCAAGGTGGAGTGAAATGTGCTTTACGGGTAGTTGTGCTTAAGTTGCCTTCTGTCTTAGAAGGTAGCAGATAGTAGGTAGTAACCTCTGCACTCAAAAATCTCAGAATCAGTCCTGCACCTTACTGCTCCTGTTATGTGACACTTGCAGCAGAGATGCCAGACTCACTTATTAGAAATTTGCTGCTGAATCAGTGGAAAATGGAACTGAGTTGGATGAGCAGCATGAATTTCACTGGGGATTGGTGTTCAGTGACTACAGGAAATTTTACTGATACTATAATTGTAAATTTGGTATGTAAAGTTTTAACAGGTAAATCACTACACTTTCTTCTTTTTCTTTCATATTCTTAAGTAACTGGAAAAAACGTATCTGTGGTAAGAACAAGATAGTCTGTGTTTTAGCAGTTCTTTCTAGTTTTTGTTGAGACCTATCTTGGTACTGAGGTGTATCTGCCCTCCCTGGCTGTTCTTTTGAAATTCTTGCCTTCGGAGGACTCTTATGGAATCAGGACCTTGA